CGGTCTTGTGGTTTCAAACATAAGCGGTAAAACCGCTCGGCTAAAAATTTCCTTAGCTTCTGCTGTAGAAGATGTTGAATTTTACACGGCATTTAGTCGAGCGAACTGTACGTTTATACGAACTTTTATTTTAAAGCTAGACATTTATTCCTAACCTGAACTTTTTTCAGGGACAAACATACAATGATATATGTGTGTGTTAAAATTAAAAGTTCTCGACCTGTTGCATAATGCACCGTGCAAGAAAAAAAAGAAAAGGAACCGTCCGATTTTGTTAGAGCAAATAAAGTATAAATATACTAATGCCTTCTTGTTACAAACGCTCAACAAGCAGATATGTGTTTAGTCAACCTTTAGATATTCTTTATTTAATCGCTGGTCGGTCACTTATCCGTCTCTGTCTGTGTAGTGAAATTCTATTGAAGAGAAAGATAGATGCGTCCTGCATGCAGATCGAAATAAAAGGATTAATCCAGGATATGTTCCCAGATATTGACCGAAACCAAAAGTTAATAAATTGTATTGTCAACAAATGCCGTTTCTATTGAAGTAAAAATATATAATTTTTATAACAAATTAACGCAGACACGAGGCGATTGGTCTGCATGGGGACTGTTTTTGGTATACATTTCACAAAGGAATAATATGTTTAAACAATGTGCACAAAATGCCACATGAGAAGCATGGTTTACAATACGGCCCAATTTGTATTTCACACGGCATCGGCGAACTGCAAATAATCACTTGAGTAACAAAGAGGACATTTACATTAAAAAAGAAATCAACTTTTACATGGTGCTGCTTTGCCTGTCGTGCGTATATATATATTTGCTTCTCCCGATTAAAACTAGTTGAAAGTTAGCGCCTGTACTGTATACTTCTTCACCTTGTCTCTTTTGCGCTATTTTATATTTTTTACTATTTACATTACATTAGTATACGCTTTAAAGGTAATCGCATTAAATGCACATTTAATACATAAATTATTGTTCATATTAATTAGACGCCAATCTCACATTAATTTAGTTTATTTAGTCCTAATGCTGACGGTCACTTAGTAGAAAGGATTTTCGTATTTGCCTTCTTAATAAAGTTTACCATCAAAAAGGCATTATTACTATTGTCTTCAAAGTTCACGATGTAATCTTAAAGTATACGTTCCCATACTGTTTTAGCCTGGCCGCACAAAGTTTTGCTCACTCTTTGCTACACAAACTATTTTTTTATATCTTTTTTTAAATTCCAGGTACACTAAACAACAGGAAGCACTTTCTTATGAATACAGTGTCTATATCTAATAAGTTTTTCTCATCCGGCTGAACATTTAGAGATTATAGAGTTTTTGCTTTCATTGAACGTTCCCAGAAAACAATACAATTGAAAGTTGAAAGCTTACAAGCTTGATCATACTGAGGAAGATTGGTAAGCACAGAATCTATGATAGCCCTTCCACGGAAGAAGAACATCAAAACGGCAGCGCCTGTTAAAGAGTCGCTCTCATTTCTGATGCACGCCGTGAGATAGCGCAGAATAACAGGAATGCCCACGCAACACGCGATCGCGCGAATGACTTCGTTTTTGCATGCTCCGGCACCCGGCCCTGGATGGCCTAGTCGGCAAAGCACTTGGCTCAGAATCTCTGGGTATGCTAAGTCCAAAATGTACCTGAAAACTGAAGTCTACGGTATCCTTGGGGCGCAACGCTTTTCGGTGTTTTTTTTGTTTTTTTTTTATTACACCGGGCTGCTACAGCCAATTTTTACAGAACTGCGTAGAAATCGTCTCATAAATGACATTGCGTGGTAATAAGAAAAAAAAAGAACATAAACAACAATTTAATGAATTCAAAAGCGCAGCTTAAATCAAAAGCAGTTCAATATTTTATTTAGAATAACCTGCAGCATATACGGACACTTTCATTCAGTCAATTAAGCTAGAACCCCCTGCACACTGTGTTTTATTAATACAGCCTCGTGCAAAACGCCTACCATGCAGAGTCGTCTTTTTCCACCGAGTATGTCATCTTTTCGACAGGTATATTGTGTCTAAGCGTTTGAATAACGATCTGAAAAAAAAATATTTATTTTGCGTGGCAGAGTAGCAATGAAACTAAAAAAATATCGGTAAGAACCTACGTTTATTTCGAAACTAGGATTCAACCGGAACATTATTTCTGTTAACAAATTGTTATAGCAATCAACCTACGGGAAAGGTGTACAAAGTTTCGGTGTATCGGAAGGTTCTATGTTGCCATATGAATAACATAACCTTTATTTTAATATTTATGTAGATTCAATTAAATCTATAAAGAAAGCGTATTGTGGCTAGAAGGGACTAACACTTATCACTTTTAGAGCGCAGCCCTTAGGCGTCCGTTTCCGGCTTGAGCGGCGTCGCCATCGACGTTTTCGTAACCGCGCGTTGCATTACGGGAAGCCCCTCATAAGGACGTCACACGTGACGTCCTGTGGGATGTCATGAGGGCCACGAGTGACGTCACCCTCGTGACGTCACACGGCACCGAAATTTGGCGGAAAATTTGGCCGCAATATTTAGTGCGAACCGCTACGTTTTGTGGGGAAATTTTCCCCCTAAATAAAACGGAAAATGTTTTCGCCAAATTTAGTGGGGAAAATATTCCGATAAATTTTGCGGAAAAATGTCACCGCTAAATATTAAAAAAAAATTTCCAGGCTAAATTTAGCAGAGAAATTTCTCCGCTAAATTTACCGGCAATTTTTTCCCCAAACTTTAACGGGGAAATTTTTCCGCAAACTTTAGCGGGGAAAGTTTACGAGAAATTTTGGGGGGAACGTTTCCCGCTAAATTTAGAGGATAAATTTACCTGGAAACTATGCTGCAATTTCACAGTAACTTCCCCTCCAAACTCGTAGATCTGTAATGCCGAATTAGAGTTGCGCTCTAATTGGACATCACAGAAAATTGTAAACGTCTTTCATTTTCATTCATTTGGGAGTATTTGATGTGAAAACCAAGAGGCTTCATTTTTATTCACAAAAGGGACGCACCAACGAAATTTGATATCTAAGTTCTTCAAGCAAAACTTTGCCGTCTAAACACAGCACACGATCAATCGGTCAAAATTAATGCCTCATGAACACGAGGCCATTCTACTGATCAGCTTAATCACGGAGTCTGCAGCATAGGCAGTCTATTCTGATAGCAAAGCTCCGCTTTAGTTGACTTATTGCATATGGAGCAAAATCCGTTTTAAATAAAGTTCATAGAAGCTCATTATGCCACAATATTACACACATGTCAAAATATTCATCACTAAAAACCTTCGGCACTTCATGTAGCATGTCAAAACAATACGTCAGCGCGTACACCGTGAGGGGAGCAATGCATAGAAAGACACGAAAAAATCTGGAGCATAAATCTCTAAGTCTCCTGATCCATCACCTTGTGGACTAAATTCCGATCTGAAAACGTAAGCACTCACTTCATTCAGCTGTCAATTGCCCATTTCGTTTCAGGGCAATGATAGGGCGCTGTTGACTCTTCAGAATCCAATGGGGCAAACGAATGAGCAGAAAAAAGTCTTTACGTGCGGGTCGTACTGCTGGATAGTCTAATCAAGCGTAGCGAAGTTGTCGTGGCCTTGCGTCTTTAGTATATGTGCGTCTGTTTGTAGGTTCTCTGTTGCCACTGGGACCTAAAAAAACCCAAGGGGTGGTGTATTGCACTCACGTTTCTTGTTTCAGAATTTTTTTCTTATGCTTTCTTATCTGTAAATACGGACATTTTATTTACCACGGATAGATAAGGAATTGCTCAAAACTCCACACGTTCAGTGTATTTTTTTTTTTGTTTTTGTTTTTTATAAGCTGTGCACGTCCATAACAGTTGACACCGCAATGGTCTCTGAGAAAATGTAAAACAAAATGTAGCCTCATCTTCTAGATAGCGTGACCTTAGTTTTGTCAAATCCAGTTATATCATGTCGTCTACCTGGAGCTGAAACGGCGAACTCAAGAGTCCCGAACCGCTCAGGTTTGTGTTTTGAAATGCAATGGCCTCTCCGCCAGACCTTTTTTTTTTTTAACCACGGTGTGTCCCTTTTGATTGCATGACACCCTGATTGCGAAGAGTTATAATCAAACACAGGAAGCCGAAGTGTAAAATTGGGAAATAAAAGGTAATACTAAAGACCGTACTCAAGTTTCCTTCTTTAACCCATTTTACTTATTGAAAAGACATATTCTCTATGACGCAACGTAAAAAATAACCGCAGTCTTAACAGAGTAGCGCGAAGAAATAAGCATATAGGCAATTAAAATTCCATGTCGGAATATGCTTGTTCCACTGACGCCACATACACGGAAATGATGTAAATTAGAAGCAGTAAATCGCGACTCAAGAAATGCGACAATTTGTTTTTTAATACAGTCGTGATTATCTGGCAGTTTAGAGTGGCTCCAGAGCACTGTGCACGGGGTTCATATAAAAAAGGTAATACAAATGTTTCTACACGAAGACTGCGTTGCACACTTTGTCCTTGGAAATTCTTTCGTTCCGGAACTTCTTTTAATAAATTTGTTAGTCTAGGAAGAAAGAAGACACCAACGAGGGCAGAATATATTTTATGTTTTAATTCTAAAATTCGCCGAAAAAAAGGCCGGTGATTATGGAAGGAACACGGGGAATTTTATTCTTAGTATTGTAGCGTTTTCAAGGTATTTATTTTAGTTCCTTAACAATCAAAACATACAATGATAACTTGCTTAGGTTTTAATAACATAATAGTCTGCGACGTCGCGTTTCCCACCACATCAAAAGGGGAAAAAATATAGATATATATTTTTTTAAATTATTTTTACCTGTATTTATATTTAGAGGGTGGAAAACCACACCAATGTTTCTTACAATAAATAAAAAAACGAGAATATTTTTAACTGAAAATATGCCAAAAATATACATAAAGGAAAAAAAAAAAAGCTAGGTGACATTTGAATTCTTCGGTACACAAAACGTATAAATCAACGCCGTTCCGAAGACAAAAGAGTGGAGGCTTCCTAAAAAAAAAATAGCTCTTTCGAAGTCTGCGAGCATGCAGTATATTTTTACACGACCGAGCGTTGTCCTAAATTCAACGGTCGACGGAGAACTTTGCCGACGCGCGCAAAACGCGCCTTCGGTTGTTTTTTTACGTACCTTGGCAAAGGCGTTTTCCCGGATTTTCACGACGTCAAGCACCAAGTCCCTCCTCGCACCGCGCTCATTCAGCCGCACGTCACCCGTGAGGCCTTTCACTTGGACCTGCGCAAGACAAACGACGGGGGCCGGAACAGCTAGGTCAGCCCCGCGTGTTCTGTAAATGCGGTGAAGAAAACATTCTATGTATTTCCTTCTTCATTATGTAAAAATCTCATGTCGAGTACAACGGCGAAGTATGTGCCGTTTTCAGACACAGGAAGAACATCCTACTTCCCTTCCGGAAATGGCCAGCCTGAAATCTTGATGTCTGTTGTTTTTTTTTATTTTTTAAATTTTATTGAAATATCAATATTTGACATTCATAGGCTCATGGGTCGTCGAAACTTCACCCTTAGAGATGTGTAAGGTCGGGAGCAGTAGGTCTGAAAACTTTACAAACATCATTATCTTAATTTCACCAAATGTCCTAGCTTAACAACTTTTCTTTCTGTTTTATCGTTCCTGCACCTTCTACCTGCTCTCGCTACATGTGCGAAGTAGGGTATAATGAAGAAAACATCATTCGACCTAATGGAGGTAACATCGAATAGTAACACGTCACTAAAGAAGACAGAAATGCGCGTATAATATTCTATCTCCGTTCTTGAAGAAGTGTCAGAGAAGAGCCGTTCTGAAGGAATGACATTTGACGAATTTACACAGATGGATATATTTTTAATTAAACGAACAAAAACTTAGGGGGCAAACGAGCTTGTAAAGGTTGAATAATTTTAGACAAAACTACAGAGGCTGGGGAAAATACGAAGGACAACACAACAAACAAGGTTTCAAGCACAGTTGAAATTTATTCCACAGAAGTTTGTGTTTATAGGGGACCTTTCTGCCCTCACAAACTGAAAGAAAACAGAAATCGAAGTACGAGCACTCTTTACACAAATGACTTGGCACCAAGCTGACAGTGGTTGGGTTTAGGCTTAACCCAACTCTGTCGGCTTTTTTTCATATTCTTTGCGTAAAGGTTGTTCTCATTTCCCTTTCTCTTTTATTTTGGCTTGTGAGGGCAGAAAACCCCCGTATAAACACGAACTTCCGTGGAATAAATTTCAGCTGTGTTTGAAACTCTGTGTGTTGATTAGTCCATATTTTCCCCAGTCTCGGGGGTTTTGTCTAAAATTATATTAAATTTAACTAATTTACAACAGCGTCCTTTAAGTACCACTGCACTTCAAGAAGATATTTATATTGCCGGTTAAAAACCTACATGAACACGTGTGTTCAAACCTGTAATTTCCAAAAAAAACAAAAATTTATGCCGCAAGACTAGTTTCAAGTCGTGGCTGATTCCAAACATGTTCATAGATCGTGTTCGGTTTCAAGGCAATAAATTGAACCGTGTTTAGAAATCGCTCCTAACTCAAATTTAGTCAGGCGATGTTTTACACTCTGCTGAAATATTTATGACGAGAAAATTTCATATTGTGACTTACCTGTCCTATCCAGCCAGTTCAAAGTGGCTTTTCTCTTCCATTGTTTTTCTTGATGGTTTCAGGGTATTTCCAATAACCCTTAACAATTTACGCCCGTTTTTCTTCGTTCCAGTTTCACTAATGAAACTGCCTCTCGAATACCTACTTTCTCGTCATGAATAAAGTCATGATTTATTAAATTAAATTCATGAATCTCATATTCTTGCCTTCACCTAAAAGCAATGAGCCGTTTACCTTTATGATTTACGTAATATTTTCGGTAAATCTTTAATTTACATTTACCAATATTTTTTAAGCCCAATAAGTTGTTGAATATAGGATCGTTTTACTTATAAAGAACCCTGCAAAACATTTCCAGACAAAATTCTGAACAGGCAATTACAATTTATCTTTATTTCATAGACTGTCTGAAGAGTTCTAGCGGTTGATGCGGGAAAAGTTTAACGAGCGGCAGCAAAAATAGTAAACGCGGGGCTTTTTTCTTTTTTTGCGATAGCCGCAGGCGAGGAATCGATATTCAAGTAACGGAGTGAGTCCCCAGAAAGTCGCTATTTTTTATTTTCAATGAGAATTGCTCCAAAATGCAGTAAAAATACGCGCCTGCCTTTTCTCGCCCGGCGGCTTCTATAAATATGCAGAAAACACTTCATATCGGGTACAAGTAGGATATAAACCATATGCGCCAGTCTTGACACCATGCTAAAAATGTATATTCTGCGGCTGTTAATTGCATGTTTTTAGAGGACAGCATTCTCAAGAAGTTTTGTGTGCTCTGTTATTCTTTTCTTTGTATTCTGAGTTTTTAAGGACAGCAAAGATACAGCGGTTTTCAATGTTCCGCAACTCTGTCTTTTTCATTTGCGTGATTTGAGCTTGGGATTTGCACCTGGGAGCTGGGCAGGCATTGCGAAGAACGTCGATTTTATGCATTCCAAAAATATTCTAAAAATTTTCAACATTAACGTTGTGATAGTGTGTTCTCAGAGAGTGTTTACACTGTTTGGCAGTAGCCCATGAGTGCACTGTCAGCCTCTAGATGAGTGTTGGAAAGAGCGCGTCGGCTTGCGCCAATCATAGACGAAGCACACTGAAGATTCTACCATAATAAGAGATTTGTTGTATATTCGGACTTAAGAAGCTATGAAATATTAGTGAAATTAGCTCAATTTTATTTTAATAGTTGCGCGGCTCAGCTGCATTTTCAAACTTAATTTACCATCGGCCAGTCGAAATGCCTGCCTACACTTCGGCTCTTACGTCTTACGTTTAAAAGCAAAGGCCTCATAAGCATAATGATCCACGGTATGTCAGCGTTTTGACATACTTCTTGTCAGTGACCGGCGAAACATTAAAACACGCACTTCTCATTTTTACCACTCCAAAGATAAATAGCAGAGTGTAAAACACAACCTCACGTTGTGCCGCCAGTGCTATGTCAATATTTGTAGGTTGTGGAACTTTACATATGTCGTACTCGCGGAAACGCAATCACATGGATATCTTGTGATATCCGCGAACAGATTATAATACACATAATTCTTAGTCATTCAGCACAGGCAAGCGATGTGCGCTCTTGCCCCGACTTACCATTTTCATATAGCTTACAAGCGAACCCCCATATGGCCAAAAGGCTTGCGGATTGGTAATGGAACAAGAGATGTTGAGCGTCTCGATCGCTTGCGACGTGTCCAGGTCGTGGAAGGACCTCGACAGCAAGGCCACGGCATCGTAGATGAGGGCGTTCATCGTCTGGTAACAGAAGCAAGTAGAGTTTGTCGTAAGCAAAAACGAACGTGTAGCTCTCGCAGGCAACCATATGATTGTTTACGTCAGATTAAATTGGGTTCATGCGGAAAAGAAGGGGAACTGGCTTCCTCTTCTTTTTAATTTTACTTGAGAGGCCGCCGGTCGCATGGAGGTCAAGTCGGTGGTAATACTCGAATTGGAAGTGAATTTATTTTTCCGTAACTTGCTCCACCTAGGGGATATCATTATATTTTATGAATGCTGTTTCGTACATCCAACAGAAACTTGGGGGCGGAGCAGAAGGCGCTACTAAAACTTCGTGGAAATTTCTAGTCACACTGCTATTTTGCAAAAAAATAATATAATTCGGTTTTATATCTCCGAATTTCACGACACAACAAGGAGAAACTTGAGGACTAAGCGCGTACTCCCGCTTGCCATGTGCTTACCTCTTCGTATTTTCACGCTATAATAGCATTCTTATTACGAGATTAAATATTTGAGCTATTTAAAATTGGATTCCAATATAATGTGTTTACTGCTTTAAGAATAAAAAAGTAAGGGAAGCGTAACAATTTTCTATATATCAATGACACACTGAGTATTGTCCTGTTCTTTAAAAAAAAATGTGCACACGGAGAATAAAAAACAGAAGCCTGGTCTAAGTCTATTATGTCTAAGATTTACAAGAGCGTTTTGGGCCGCTGATAAAACATGTCCCCATATTTTTCTTTACTACAAAGCTTAATAATTGAGAACGAAAGGCGAAAGGCTGCTTCTGTGTTTCCTAAATCTACGCACAACTTGCAGGATCAAATGCACCTTCTTTTGCATCTTGCACACCAACACGCATCGTTCAAAATTATATATATAAATATAAATAAACTTGTTTGTAATTATAAACTCTTATCTCCTCCCATCAGTCACCGCCGCATGTTTTGAAGCAGTTTTGCTTCCTGTGTTTTTTTTATTTTTTGTTGTAAATAGACACCATTTCACTGTTTAGGTGGCATTAACTTTTCACCACGTTCTCTAGACATTGCAAGAGGTTTGCGAAAAAAACTTTTTTTTTTGAGCTCGTTAGCCTGCGACAGCGCAAATCAAACACAACCTTCCCCAAACCCGCAAAACTAGGCCCAAACGAACCAATGCTCGAAATATTCCTTTCCTCTTTCTGCGTTGTCCTTTCTCTGAAACTATCGCTCCAGCAGTTCATTCCTAAACAAGCGCACATACGTTTGGTTGGTTTACTGTTTAACGAAGACGCGAGATATCTTCTGTAAACCATGCCATGGAACAGAAGGCAGAAAATAAATCAAGCCACATAACCGACCAGCAAAATATTAAGACAAAAACGGCGGCAGGCAGTACTGCTGGACGTGTACGAATCAATTTATTTTCGTCTTTCCGGAAAATTTAGCCCTTAGAGCTTTTGTTGATGCGGTGCACGACACCATCCCCTTTCTGCCCTTCGTTTTTGCGAGGCTCCATTATCCCGTTCCTCTGCGGGTTAAGGTCCCCTTTTTGGGAAAGTTCTTCTTCCGGGACTTGGTGCAGCCGCTTGCGCCTCTTGAATTTCCGAGGCTAAAAAGCGGCTTTCAGACTCAATTTCGCGTACGGTCTGAAGTACAGGCATTTAACCAAAACGCAATCTCGAAAAAATTTTGCTTCAGTGTTTTGATTATTCCCCATTGTTTACATAACAGGATTATGACGGGGGTTTCCTTATATAAAATGTTTTATGTCGTTAACTACTTCTTTGGTTAAAGCGAGCGTATTGTAATTATGAATGCTTAAATTTAAAAGAGTAAAGGCATGGAGGACGTTCACAGACAACCAGACTGGTAGGTAGTCTGTAAACATACACCATGGGTTTTTTTCTTAAATTATTTTAACTGCTTCTTCTCGGGGAACATTTCATAAATTATTTATTTCGACCCATTTAATTAGAACATTAAGCAACTTGCGGTGACAACTGACTGGGAAATGTCTATCCTAGGAATTATGTTGTTTTTCTTCGTTTTGTGCTACTGTTTTCGTGTTCTTTCGCAATTTTTATTCAGGATGCATGAAGACATAAGAGGTTGTAACTGTACAGACTTTCTGCGTTCCTAAAAACATTTCAGTTTTTTTTTTTTAAATTTGGGATGTATTTTTTTGTTTGGTCAAGATTCTGAAGTTTATTTTCTTTTCGTTTACAACTTCTTGTTATTTACTTTTTTAAACAATATTTGTCAGTGTGTCTCGATGCACCTGACTTCATTCAAAAGCCCATGTTGCGGCCGCGATTAATTGCTATGAAGACGTTCAAATTTAGTGCCGCTGCTGCGAAACAAAGAATTGACGCTACAGCATAAGGGATAAAATAATGCTATTAGTTCACTTTGAATTAAAAAAAAACATAAATAGCAAGGCAGACAACTTATACAGGAAGCTCTGTAGAAAAGAGAACCGTGATTTTTTGCCCGGGTAAATGAACTATGCATCGCAGAAAGATCGGACTTCGTGGAAATGTGATACTAGAAGTTGAGATAAGACGCAAAGGTTTGAGAACATGAAGTTAACTGGATCAAAATATAATTTAGAAAAACTAGATTTCTACACGAGCCGTTGTCCACCTAAACCTAATATTGTCAAAATACGAAATCGCACATTGGGCGCATGTAGCATGTATTTAAATCACAAAAAATGTAAGCAAGAAGGAAGGTATTGTTTTTTTCCTGCTGAAAAGCTTTCTTTCCCCACTGAAATAGATGCTGCAGGTGCCCACAGTGTTGTTTATTGTTTTGGCGATATTAGACTAAAGGAGGATGTCGGCTCACAGAACATCTAGTTTTTCTCAATTGTCCTTTGATCCAGCTAACGTCATGCTTTTAAATTTTCGGTTTCTACCTCAACCGCTATTGTCACATTTTCACCAAGTTTGAAAATTTTGCGGTACATTTTTGTTTTACCATGGCCAAAACACAAGGGTCTCTTTTCTCGAAAGCTCCCTGTAGATATTGTTTACGTAACAACATGACAATATTCAGAACCCATCCTTTTGACATAAAATTTGACGGCAGTTCGCATCGCTAAGATAATCCTATGCTGAATTAGAAGATAAATAAGAAAAAAAAATCGAGGTGCATCCGTTAGCTTAGGCGCACCATATATTCATGTAAACGTGGCTTGAAACGCCAGGGTGTACGTTGTCTAAATCGTAAGTGTAAAGGCCCGTTCACACTCTTCCAACGGTGTACCACCGAGAGAGACGAGGATTGTTGAAACCTCTTAAACTTTCTTACGACGAGAGAACACACTGGCATTTTGGCGCCATCTGTGCGGTGTCCCTGGAACTTCATTTCACAAAAGCGAAGGTTTAGCGGGTTTTCCGAGGTCAAATGTGCGCAATGCCTATAAGAAAGGCTCGGTTATAACGTTGACAAAAGTTTTTCACGCAAATAAAGGAAGGATAATGCTCGAGGAAAATAGTAAATATGCCGGACCGCCAAATTTACACTGCTACCCAATAGATGGCGCCAGCGTGTCCTCTCGTTTTAAGAGGTTTCAAGGCGCCCAGTTCTAAGAGGACGCAAGAGTGTGAACGGGTCTTTAAAACGTAAAAAAGAAAGTGGTTACCTTGGCCTTCTATATGGTGTTTTTACGTCACATCATACAACAATGGTCCAGGTCATTTGTTTTTATATATTTATGTAAAAGCAGATGCGAAAGCCATCTTCTTGAGAGGAGCTCTTTCTGATCGGTGAACTTGTCTCTAAAACGTGCTTACTTGATCTGTTTCGTTTTTCTTTTCCTGTATACTTTTTTGTAATTTTTATTATATTCTGTATACATATTTTTATACCTTTCGGGAAATATGTCGGGAAAAGTAGCTGCGTGCATGTTTCGGAGCGAAATCGACGGCATTGTAAAGTACCACAGTAAAACCGTGGTAATACCTACGACTCCAACTTAGATATATTTTTTTCCTCCGGAAGAAAACCAGCTTGAACTTTCACATATAGGTGTATACGCCTCCGAAGAACATGGCAGTCACAAATAGGTTTTTATATAAATATAAAAAAATCACCCGAACCAAAATTGTACGATCTGACGTGGATACATTCTAGACTATTACGTTTATAAAGCGGTAGAGCTTAGAATGATTAACAAAGCAGCGAATTACACTACATGGTGAGTCTTGCTGTTTCCTGATGATCATTTTGGGCTTTTCGCTAAATATGTTTTTTTATTTGTTCATATCTTTGTCTCTTCTTGGCGTTCAGACTTTAATTTCAATAGCAACTGAGGGCTGTGAAAAGTGTTGCTGTTTCTTCTGTTCCCAATTTTATTGACATTCTCCCCTGTAGATCTGAATTGTGTCTTTTACTGTGCTTTAGTTCATGTTCTTGTTTCCTCCTCATGACCATTTTTGTTTTGCGTGAAATATAGTATTCCTTAACTGTCCATATTTGTATATCTCTTGCCGTTTAAACAGTAACTTTTTATAGCAACGGAGGGCTGTGACACATGTTACAGTTTATTCTGTTTCAATGTTATCGAAGTTTTGTTTTAACGGTGCGGCTATTTTTAAGTTGCTCGTCGTTTTTGTCATGTAACATGTCGCTGGCGTATTTTTTTATTTTTTATTTTTTTGCGTGGCAAATGTACTCTGCGTGCTGCTCTGCACTGCACAGGGGGTGGGTCGCCGTCAGGCAGCAATGCCTTTTGCCCCTGCCTCCTTACCTGGTATTTCCGATGAAAAACCAAATAGAGAATGAATGAATGAATAAAAAACAGTATATTTACTAAAAGCCACATAGGAGGGTTGTTTAGACAGTAGTGCCTCGTATATTAATTTTATAAAACGGTATGTTGAAAATCTATGAAATTCTCACACAGTATCACTGCATGCTTTCCCTATCCATTAAATTTTGGGACAAAATGTCCGCCTAAATCTACTGGCTTTCGACAGCACAAAACTAAATCGTGCATGCCTTCTATATACTGGCTTTGTTTTTCACTCATGTAAAATATTCTCACAATACGAATCACCCTCTCGTCATAAAAAAATATAAGAGCTGATGAAGAGCGGTCCCCGCTCGGAACGTCGTCCAATAAACTTGCGGGTACATATTAACCAACTCCTTTCTGATATATATATATATATATATATATATATATATATATATAGGGCCATGGCGGCCTCTAGAACAAAAGGAAAAATTAGGTAATTAGTTAGCCAATTAACTAAAATGTTTTAAATAACGTTTTTTAATTTTTCAATTGAGAGCACATAATTTATTTAGAAAATTGAAGCTCGACGTCAATATGGTTTAGCCCTGCCATCAAAGTTTGATAACAAAATCTGCAGTAGGTGCTACAGGGTCAAGAAATATCATTTTGGTACACGGCGTCACCCCGAAACTAAGCGAGAAAGAGCGCCGGTAAAGTTTTCGCTCCGCCCTTGCGGGCATGCGATTTGTTATTATCGCGACCGTCTCCACTTGCTTAGGCGAAGCTGGCTACGGTAACGACGATCCACGGGGGCCGGAAGGGCGGAGCGATTACTTTACCGGCGCTCTTTCTCGATTAGTTTCGGTTTGACGACGTGTGCCAAAGTGACATTTCTTGACCTCGTAACACCTACTACAAATTTTTTTAACTAAGCTTTGATGGCAGGGCTAGACCATATTGAGGTCGAGCTTCAATTCTCTAAATACATTCTTAAACATTTTTGTTAATTAGCTAACTAATTACCTAATTTCACCTTTTTTCTAGAGGTCGCCATGGCCATTAACACTTCTTCAGGGCCTAAATTACTCTATCTCATGTTCTTTTTTTTAAATTTGGTGCAGCTAAAAAAAAAACACCCTGTATATATTTATATATATAGTTTGCTTTGCTTTCTTTGATGAGTTGAAAAAATCAAAATTTCAGGACGTGAAATCAGGCCTATAGAGGGCATGGGGAGTAGAACCCAACCGAATTTGGAAACTGTTTCGTGGGTTTTGATAGTTGTTTCAAAATAGATATCGTGCTGGATCAACATATATCCTAGATACATATAATGCTGCACACGCCAGGAACACTGTTTGTGTGCTCGGAGGGATCAAATGTGCACGATCGGAATACATGTCTCGCCACAATCGACTTCCGGTGTGCCAAACTGCATGAATATTGTCAGCCGGCGCGCCGCAAAAATTTTTAGGCTGATGGTCATAGCAGCACCCCCCTGCTGTGGCCGATTATGTAGCTCTGTTTGTACGGTCTCAGAGCCCATTCTCCGATCTTGGCTAACGACTGTACTATTACCGATTGCACAACCTGCACAGCACACAAATGGTTGTGAACGTTTCCTGCTTTTTATCAGTGACCAAAAATTAAACTAAAGCTGGATGCTTTTCACATGTCACATATAGACGCCATTTTTACCGTCTATTACAGCAAGGTTCTCTGTGAGTCTACCGTCAAATTACATTAGCTGTTGGTACGCAAGCAACGTCATTGTAGCAATCTGCATATTTGTACTGACTCCTTTTATTTTTTACATATAAAACAAATGTATGGCCTTACGTTTGGAGCAAGCCTCGTAGTTTTAATATTTCGGAGATTTAAGCGTCCGAAAGCGGTTACATTGAAATTACTATGGGCCTTTTGTTGGAGCCTGTAGATTTACATTTATACAAACATGTAGAAGCACAATCCCTGATACACTTAAAAAAAATTAAAGGTGTTCAATTCGAAATCAACCAATTTAGAAGTCCCTTTTTTGTAGTCCCACAATATTTCAGCGTGTAGTTTGTTTACCCCTTTGCCTTTCTTAACAACACGTTAATGTCACTAAAATTACCTTTATAGATACGTAGCTTGTACTGCTCCTGTTCGTATCTAGAGTGTAATAGTGCATCTATGCGGTATTAGTTTATAGCCAAAACAAAACATTTAAATCGAACTTCTTTGGCGGAAAATTAGCCAAAAGACGTAGGACCAGGACGAATAAACCGTATACATTGTTTAACCGTCCAGGTCATACGTCTTTTTGGCGCTGTTTCCACCAAAGAAGTATGCACCACAAACTAGCCCAACGACATGCCTTCCTCCAATAAAAGTAAGTTTGTAAAGGGAAAAAAAATCGCACTATTTTAAATTAAAACTTAAAAAAACTCTCAGTGCGCAGTAGACAGCATACGTCCATGCGATATTAACCACCGCTTCTGCAGTTTTCTTTTTGTTTGTTTTTTGTGAAATCGTGTATCTTTGAGGACTTGTGAAAAATTTTAAATATTAAAGTATTTTTTCGAAAAACATACGAAGCCATTTTTTTCAATTTATAACGTGGCTTTCGTGTAAATTTTGAATTTGATCTTTTTATTCTAAGAAACAATAATATTCGAAGTCGAGCTCTCTTACACTGGCTTCACCGCACACACTAAAAATGCCCGTGCGTCTACTTTCTCACACAACACTAGGAGAGGCAATCATCGCAACTTACGGAGTCGACTCAGCGAATGACGATGCCGACACATATGTTTAGACCACAACACGCACTCTGAGTTGTGACGTTAAGCAATCCAAACATGACGCTTTGCATGCTTTTTTCTTGATTTAAACGTACGTTTCGGCATCGCCATTCGCTGAGCTGCCTCGGGAAGTTTCGGTGAATCGCTCGCCGAGGTTTGTGCGGAAAAGTAGACGCACGGTCTTTCATTAGAGTGCAATATAGTAGGAGTAGGCCTGAGCATATTTTACAGAAATGTACTTTGTTCGGAACTACACTTTCTGACATATTTAGCGCAGTTCCAGAGCTGCCGCTAAACAAAATTCGATGGAAAAAATTAAGCCTCATTAAGACTATTGAGGTAGCCGATCAAATATCCGAACGTGCCGAAGGAAACCTTATATTTCCTTCAAATTTACGACAGTAATTTATGTCGAAGTAGCCGCTGAATCATCATGTAATAATACAACTCGCATAATCCTTTGTGGAGCGCAAGTGTGTGACCCAAGCAAGGGCCTATTGCTTGCGTCATTACAAAGCGGCCTTGGCGCGCGTCAGACTGAATGTCCGATGAATATTTCCGTTAATAAAATGCGTGTTGCAATTCAAATATCTGTTTACGAATATTGGGCTCACTCTATTTCTTATGATTTTTGTCCCGTTTTCTGCCTTCATCTTTCCCTCGTCCGTCACAACCGTTTTCTTTATCGGGCACTGTTCGTCTTGAATGAGGCTAGTATATTCACCGCGTGTGAAAAACAGTTATAAGGTATCGTAAAATAAGCGGTCACACTACGGCATTTTCTCTGAAGGTACATAGTTTTGAAAAATTCAGGATAGACGTCAAAAGTTCAATTTTGTCTGCTGCTCGTCTACCAACGGCAGTACCTGGCAAAAGCTTTTTCTGGGGGCTACGAGCCTCAATGTTCCCTTCGATCGAGCACCAGGTCTCATAATGCAACTGACCACATTGAGGTATCGGTGTTCTTACGAAGCCATGTTCATGAATCTTCGTGGACTTTGCCAAGCGTGGCTTGCGTATAATACCAAGCTGGGCACTCCCCTTTGCGTCGCCTAGATCTAGAAAAAACTCCTGGTCCTGCTGTCGCGTCCGACGGGTCTACTCCAAGTCAATTAAATAGCCTTTCTTCTGCAGTTCATTGTTAGTTGAACATGGTAAAAAAAAATTTTACAGCGATTCAGGTTTCCTTTTACATTTTAGCTCATAAACGCTTCACGATAAATTTAGAAGGAACATTGATTTCTACATAATTGTACACGGATAAGATTTGCCCCGATAAATAAATCTACTGAACCGCGACGGACAGACGCACACAATCTCAATCTGTGCCAGCCCTAGAAATGCTACCAGATTAAAAAGAAAAAAAATATAACAAGCGATGTGTATGCGAGGACCTCCATGTCGGATTCCTTCGATGCTAGTCACGCTTCACGTAATAACACTTCTGCCAATAACGTTCTGGATTCCACGTACAGCAACCGTAAGAAAAAAACATCCCAGATGGAAAAGAAATAAAGAAAAAAACGTGCAGCATTCACTGGACGTGACAGTCCTGAAAGGAAGAGCCCATTTAAGGCTGCGGTTGAGCGCTTCGTAGCCGCTTCACTGACCCTGAGCGTCCTCTGGTCCACACGGCGTCCGAAGAGCAGCTCCCCGAAATTCCAGTCCCGGATGACACCGCGCACGGCGCCGTCGGACGGGTCTAGAATTCGAAGCCCGTACACCCCGGGTCGCTTTCCGGCACCGGTCCCATTCTTCGGCCACCAGGATGCAACGTTCACGGTGTGCACGTCCTAAATAAAAAAGGAGCAAGAACCATGAATGGTCGAAGCAGTTTCTACTATACACCGACATAGTGTTTACAAACAAGCCCGCTTTGCCCACACTAGGTGTGTGGCTACTGCGCGTGCGCACAAACCATGATCCATAGGAGTGAAGCGTCTGCGGCCGCGCATCAGCGACAGCAGCGCCACCACACACCACACAAAGAAAAAAATGACTACCCTGGGCAGTCAAAATGGCGTTTTGGAGGCTTTGACTACCCCAAAGAGCGAGTGACTAGCCTTTGGGCGAAGTGACGACCCTCAACCGCTGTGGAATGACCACCTTTCTTCAGGTGACGACGGGGAGCGGGGGGGGGGGGGGGGTCACTTTCGAATTTGATGTTCACGTGCAGGCAGTCGTAAATGATATTAGTAACTTAGATAACCACAGAAATACCATAAAGAATGTTCTTCTTTAGCTTTCGTGATCCTTTAAGATACTCCAAGTTCACATCTGTTGAACAATTCGCGTAAATTGGCGTAATACAAATTTTGTCGGCGCGAGCAACAACACTGGTTCTCAACAGCTGGGCCTGGCTTGGCATCGACAAGGAACCAACGGCCCGTTTGGTTTGTAGTGATTGTTTGCCGAAATGAGGTAAGGATATTGTTTTTGCCGCATTTTATTGTAAAGATTACTGAAAACAAAATGACTAGTTGTATATCTGATCGTACTGAACCATTGAACACTGAGACCGATCGGCAGGGTCGCCCGTACTGTTTTCCTCAATCTCGGAGTGGTTGGATTTCTGAGCTGCACCCGTCGTGGTTGTGATCTCCCGGCTGTACGTACGTAGCGCGTGAACTTCCAATTCAGTAGCGGGTTGCGGTTCAGTGGCATTGTAGTAATTGGCTCTTACTCTTACTAGATTGTTGCGTCGTCACGGGCACTATTTTAGTTGTTACAAGCGCCAGCTCGAGCTTGAACTCGCGCCTCTTTCTCCGGCCGTATTCTTCAGTTTTGATGTTCTGCTCTCTGATTCAATAAACCTACCCCTAAAAGTCAATCACCTTTGCATCGTCACCCGTCAGGGAATCCCAAAGCCCTGTAGCTCTACCGGCCCTTACTGGATGTCTCCTACCGCCAAGTAGCAGCCTGATCGTCGAACCACCAACATAGTCGCCTCTACATCAGAGAATCACTACATTTTGGTGTGTCAGCTACCACTCCATTTTGGTGCGTCGGCCGCTACAATGTTTTGATGCGTCTGTCCATCCCGTTCTTTCGACTGCTTAACTCTTTCCTGGGCAGGAAAAGAGCCCCTCAGGTTTTTCACGACGTTCTTGCGCTAATGCTCGTTCAGTTTTTTAGGGTTCTTTGCAATAAGGGGGGGCGGGGGGGGGGGGGGGGGGGTTCCAACGCTTGTGTTTCTTCAGTTCTTTCAGGACAGTAAATAAGCCCCCGAGGTTCTCCACAGTGTTTGGACGCTCGCGACCGTTCAGTTTACCAGTCTGTCCTGCAATACGTGGCCTTTTAAGCCTTCTGATATTTTCCCCTTGGCCGGTCGCACTGCTGTAGCCGGTTTTGGACTTTACGAAATTTCATTGCATTGAGACATACTGTCCTATACTTCGTTCACCCCTAAGCTGAGACTGCAGTGGGAACTATGTGCCTGCCGAAGAAATCAGTTGCTTTCCTTTCATCACCTGACCCAGTCCTCGTCAAGTGGGTATGAGCGGGAGCATGATCACGTAATGAAAGAGGTATGTATGACTGGTCCATTGAAGACGTAGCTTCCACCCCAGCCTCAGCTTAGGGATGAATGGAATATAGTCAGCGTGCAAGATGGCCGCCCAGCTCCGGCCTTCCAAGAAGGTGGCGCTTACAAGACGGCCGCTGTCTTCATTGGCTTCCTTGCTCGAGACCCCCTGTGTCGGAAAACCAGCGTGCACGAGCACGCACGCGCCACGAAGCTTCAATGACGGCTGCCCATAAGCGGAGGAGCTGGCATCTCCTCCACAGTTGTCTCGGCCGATGCTTCTATCTGCTTTGTGTCTGAGTGGACCACGATCAGTATTACGTAACTCTCCAGCAGTGCAGCATAATATAAGCCGTGTTCAGCATTGCTTAGTATCCGACCAGGTGACCCGAACCTGCACCAGAAGCATTTAACAGGACTGGGCACACGTTTTTCACCTTCTTACATGGTCTTAAATGTCTTTGGGAACACCGGGGTACCAGAAGATAGTGCTTGCTAAGCTCTTCATGACTGACCTGCCTCGATAGGTGTCATGGAGCATAGCCTCCTGTATACTTATAATGCCTGCTCAATTGCCAGTTGCCAGCTGTTACCATCAGGGTGCGTTGCTTCCCTATACAAGGTAGAAAATGTGAACGACAATAATAAGCTTCTTTCATGCGTTCTTGTATTCTTGGTGCTGTTTTTGGCGTTTGTCGTTGTACATGGCGGGGCTGTCATTTCACGAGACCCCAAGCACCACCCGGGATCATGTAAAGTGACCGAAGCTTATTTCGAGGAAAGTCTGGGTTCCAAATTTTACCTCCTATATACGCAATAGAGTGCGGTAGGCATCTTTTTGTGACAGACATTAAGGAAGGCCTGTCTGGTCCCCCTTCGTGCATCCTGCTCAGAATCCACTCAAAGCCCAGCTTGGCTCGGGCCTCTCTGTTGTCAAAGCTGGATGAGCCCATGTACCCTTCCAAATCCTGTTTTTGTGCTGCTTGACTGGCTCTCACTGCTTACCTGCCCACATATTTCTCGCACTGCTCGAGGTATATGTCCACAGAGAGTCATTACGAAACGTGAGCCCCGGCACAGCTAACACCTTCCGCACTGCTTACGTGACTTCGTAGCGGTTGTTACCCCAGAGAACCCTGGCCGTTGCAATTCCCCTTCCCCTTCTGAACTTTGAGACCAAACCAATTATGCAGCAAGACCAAAGTATGCACTACCTTTTAGAATTTTAGCACCGCTTCTCGGCATCATTATCGTTGTTGCAGTGCTCTGTTATTTGCTAGTTGAGATGGTGATATCACAACATTTTCTTTGTCACGCATGGTGCTTGCATTAACTTCACAGAACATGAGAACATTGAAACTGCATAGAGCTGACAGTGCTGTGGAATGACCAAAATATGCGCTTGCAATTTCTGCTTGCGCCAGCGAACTCACCACAATTAGTCATCGGGACGTGCCATGTCACAGCGTTGTAGGACGCCACCTATGCTTGATGTTGGAACCATGGTACAATGCCCGTCTTTATCAGGCATGTGTTTCACGTTTACTTTGTCAACTAATGCAATGAACAGAGTTTTTGGTGGAGGCTATCGAGTTGGCAGGTTACGACCGCCTCAGCACTCAGCTAATTGGTGATTTCACTTAACTACTCGTTTCAGTGGAATGTCTAATCTTTATTCTGTTGTCCATAATCTATTTTTGGCTGGTTTGTTCGAAAGTAACTCAGTTGGTGTATCTAAGGAAATCTCAAGAAAAATCTTTGCTAAGGCTGCACTAGCCCTGACAATTCTTTCTTCTTGAGGCCACGATAAGACCACCTGATTTCGTTTTGAGCAACCCAGCACATGCAGAGGAGGAATGGCCCAGATTCAGCATGCTGTTACAGGTATCACGTGAGCACATTCCATTTGTTGCTGAAAAAGAGGTGTCACTTAAGGAGAAAGACAGTGAAATCAAACATTATTAGGTATTTCGGTTAAGAAAGTTGTGGATACTTTAGCTGAGCTTTCAGTATTTTGGGTACATTATACTTTGTAGCTTTGAGGTCATCTCTGATAACTATAAGTTCACATGCATCATGTAAAATACATTGGACGTGGCACACAACCGCACATGGGCACCCATCATATGTCTGAGCTGTGCGTTCATTTTTTTTTTTTTCAGTTGAAGTGTAACTCTCACCTTCGCTGAATCAGTCTCTCATTCACGTACTGAATGCCTTTTTACAGGGTTGCGTTGCCAAAGGAGACTTGCGCGCTCGTGGGTGTTTGGTGAGTGGCGCCACCAATCACCATGAGCCCCGAACCCAGCATCGATTCTGACCCCCTGCATGCCTGGCTGTGCTAGGTGTTCCCGTGTCTGATGAAACTGGGGTCTTGGCAGTTAAGCCAAGCCCGGGTTAGATTTCCTTCAAGGGCCTCCCGGCTTAGGCAACCCACCACCCCAGCCCGCGCTCGCCACAGACAGATGTCCTGCGTTGGCTCGCCCAGGACGATTCGGTCAGTCGCTTTGCTTCACCTCTTCTTTCTTCTGATTTTTTCACCATTCCTGTTTTCGACCTCTCATCTTTCAGATGTAACATAATTCTTTTAAAGTGAAGAAGAATTATATAGCCCATGGGTGTTGAAAACCACGAGAGTGTGACATGATAACACCAAATACTTTACGATGAAAATATCTCACTCCATGAAAATTCAATGGCCTTGGCACGAATAGGCTTTGCGTGGTTAGAACAACTGGATGCGCAGCAGCCTCGGGGTTTTTCTCTTTGATTAGACCCATCTCACAGCCAGTTTCGTTAAGCCGCCGCTGCCGGAATGCATTAAAGGAACTTTAGTCTTTCTGCATGTGCGAGAACCCCGCTGGAGCATGGCGCGTGACGAGACGACACGAGCCGTGTCGTGCACTGCCGCCTGCCTCCTGTGATCTAACGTTATGGCGGCGTCATGCATGTGTGGGACGCTTAATGAGATAAATCTATTGGGACGATTGATTGCTATAGTAGATTACTGTTGCCATCTATGGTGGCGGACACCTGGAGCACTAGTTGAGACAGCTGTCTCTACTGTCTCGGCAAACCCGGTATCTCGGTGTGCCCACGGCAGTCCTCTTTCTTGGTGCGGCATGACTACTGTACAGCATGGACGGTGTGATCCTCATGCATTCTCTCAGATGTCTGATGTCTACGACACTAGGAGGGCAACAATTGGCACTGTGGGTGCGCTGGCATAAATGAATGGAGACAAATGTTTTTTTCCTGGTGAAGTATTTA